TTAGTTTAAATTTAAATCAATTCAAATTAAATAAAATGTAATATTCAGTTCCTTAGTTGTGCCAGTCATATTTCAAGTGCTCAATAGTAAAATTCTATATATTAGTAACCAAATAAAACCAACTGAGCTATTTTAGTCAAAGTACTCATACCTTGTAGTTTTGACTGTATTGTTCTTATCTCTTCGGTTTGGTTTTGGTTGATCAAACGAAGATTCTGATTCTCCAATTCCAGCTGAAAGGACATATGGTAGGTATTCTTTTAAATAGGAATAACATTTCTAAAATATACTAGTAAATTAAAATATGTAGAAAATGTTAATACCTAACTACACATAAGCAAAATACAAAAGATTTACCAGCATAAGTTATCAACTTATATAATTATGGCTTACATATTAATTTTTCTAAAACTAAGAGTTTTAAGTGTTTTCACCCCCTGTGACTTTTCACTGTAAAATTATTTTAAACCAAATTATTTTAGCATTTAATCTGCCATATAAACTAAATAATGTGTACTTCTCAGATACTGAACACAATTTTATGAAATACACATGTTCTATAATTTTTTTAAATTAATGAATTAGAGTTAAAAATCAACAAATTAGAATGAGGCTACCTATACTGATTACCATGAACCTATCAATATTTTTCATTTTAGAAATATATTGAACATTAAAATAAAAGCTACTTATCTAACATTTACCAAAAGACAGCAGCCAAACCAACTTTTCAGAATTTTGTTTCACTTAGCGACTGATCATATAGTCTGATAACTTATTTAAAATAAGTAAAAGGTACAGAAAAGGCAAAATATAACAGTAAGTACCTCATTTAACTTAAGTGTTACCCATTCTTTGATCTTAGCTGCTTTCTCTTCTATAATTTTAGCTTCTTGTATCCTTATTTGTTTCTGAAATAACATTGTTTGTTTAGTTCAAATATAAGCTCACAGGTCTAAAAATGTCATATCATGCATAGAAAAAGGCAAATCCACTTAAAACCTATTTCCAAGTTAATACTTTACCTTCAAATTACCAAATAGAATAAAACTTCTTCAAAATAGACTCGCCCAGGCCGAAAACCGACTTCTGCGCATGGGCCACGAAGTTTCAATCGCACTGTACGTGCGCGCCCGCACATGGTATTTTGTGGAAGAGCCACACTCAAGGGGCCAAGGAGCCGCATGTGGCTCGCGAGCCGCGGTTTGCCGACCACTGGTCTAGGGTTTATAACAATGGGGGGCGGGGGGTCAACCAGGTTGGGAGGAAGAGAGTCAGAATCTCCTCTGGGGCATGACTTTGTTTCCCCCTCAAACACTACTAGTTTTTAAAGATCCAGAAAAATAAATGAAGATCAAAAAGCGCTAGCTCACATTTACCAACTTAAAATCGAGTTTGGTCACACAACTCCTGAGAATGTGACTACTGTATAAATTACAGTTGGCGGGGAACAGGGGTGGTGAAGGCTGAAAACCACTGACCCAATAAAACATCAATCCCTACAGAAATGGAAAAAAAAAAAAAGCTGAAAATAAGTAACTTAACATGTTTAACAATTTCATAGTGGTCATATTGAAATGACGCTAAATAATCCTAATGCAATTTTTTTTTTGCTAATAAACTTTTAAAATGAACTAAATACTTGATCTCAATAAAGTAGTTTATAAGCAGTGGGCACATTTCTAAGCAGACAGATTATCCACAAACATATAATTAAAATATAACAAGCCATCAACATTCCCAACACCCTAAACATTCTAAAACAAAGATTTACTTGAAACATTTTACAGACAAATGCCTGCTGATAACCAAGTGTTTTCAACTTAAACATTACACTCACACTTTTATAGTTAGGAGCATTGTCACATACAAAAAGTGTCTCAGAATTACCCCAGACTAAAGGTGAATGCCACTTACTTTCACCTCTCACCAATAAATGTGATGCAATTCTATGGGTTGACCAAATGAGTAAGATTTCTGACCAAAATTTAGAAGTTTAAGCTCTGTCTCTTTCATCTTTGTGATTATGCATAAATGAATGCATATATTGAGAACTGTTTAAATGATCAAATTCTTCCTAACCTGCTCTTCAAGTTGCAGTTCCAAGTTTTGTATGATATCATCTTTTTCCTGTATCAGGGTCTCCAGATCTTGACACTTTTTATATAACCTTGTCTCTGATTCACTGGTTTGAACATTAGCTGCTTTTAATTTCTCTTCCATAACTTGTACCTAAGTTCAGAAGGTAAATAATAAAATTAGGCATGGACTTAATTTATCATAGTATCAAATTTAGAATTTTACTTTAACATTAAATAGGTTCCTAAAAGTTATCATCATAAAAGGAAAATACTGCATAGCACATTTCAATAGATACAACAATTATCAAGTCTGAAGACTACTTTGCCTAATGGTGTTAACTCTGAGGTACAAAAGGGTACATTAGAGATTTGCAGATTATTGCTATCATATAATCTACATGTTTAATAGAACAATAATAATATGCAAAGCATTTCATAAGAGTATAGAATCAGGAAGTTTCCAGCCCTAACGTTTTCATATTTTAAACAAAGTAGGAATATAAAGAAAAGAAGGTGAGTGGTGACATAAAGACTCTAATTGGATGGCCTAGCACAGTGATCGGCAAACCGTGGCTCGCGAGCCAAGGAAGGGGTCGACCTCAGTGAACGTACCTCAATCAGATTGAGGACGTTTTTAGCAAAGGCCAGCTTGGGAGTACCCTAATTAAGTTAATAACAATGTACCTACCTATATAGTTTAAGTTTAAAAAAATGTGGCTCTCAAAAGAAATTTCAATCGTTGTACTGTTGATATTTGGCTCTGTTGACTAATGAGTTTGCCGACCACTGGCCTAGCATAATAACACATTTTGAGGGAAAAATTAAACTTAGATGAAAATACACACACACACACACACACACACACACACATAATGGAAAGCAAAAGGAAATCAAAAGAACTTTAAGGTCCACTGATGGAATCATAAAAAATATTTTAAAAATATGAGTGTCAAGATATAGGTAGGAGAGTATGCCAAGTGAGGTTTATTGATTTACTAACTTAACAAATATTCAGTGAATACCTGCCACTGCCAGGCCTGTTCTAGGTCCTGGGAAGACATCAGTGAATAAAATGGACCTAAAGTCTTTGCTTGAATTGAAATTAAATTCTACTGGGTAAGAGAGATCACAAGTATAATAAAGGTATAAAAATTATACAGTATGTTACACAAGATGAAAAGGGTAACGGGAAAAAAAGAACAAGATAAAAGAGTGTGTCTGGGGGTACAGTGTTGCCTCAAGTTTAATATCTAAAATATATTGGCTCTGCTTGGATCTTTGCAAAACACATTTGAGCATATGAAACCTTAGAAGGGATGTGTGAGTGTTAATGATAGTAAGAAAGAAAATGAAGTGCTGGGCAATTTCTACGACAGTAAGACTTTTAGTTTGTATACTCCAAATAAGTCAGAATGTAATTTTAGCAATGTTTCAGATTATAAGGCAAGGAAGAGAAATATGCAAAAGCATTTGAGGAATTAAAGATTATAGTTAGGATGAAAAACCTTAAGCTATTAAAAACACCTCTGAAAAACCACACAGTCCTTACTTAATATTTAAAATTACTTAACATCTAGAAGGATGATGTTAAGGTTAGTTTTGGTTTTTAAACCGTGAATACAAGATTTCATCTGTGGGTTCAGCGTATAAATGTAAATTCGACTCCAGTGCCAAAAGTATCCTATTTAAATACCACCCACATGGCTGGCAACTATGAAAATGAAAGTAGATTTTTAAAAAGATAAAAATGTATTTCACTATCTAAGAGACAATTTTAAGTTATCTTAAGGTTTAGATTTTTTTTAACATAATATAGCAGGCTTTCTGCAGAAACTGCAGACCAATAGTCAAGGACACAGGTCTACATGAGAGATGCTGTCGTGAAAAACAGCTGGAGCAGGACCGTGAGTATCTAGGGTCGATCTGAAGATGGTACAGCCAGTTCTGCACAGGACATCCTGTAGCTGTGGAAGCAGAGAGAGAAGAGCAGAGTCCAAGTCCAAAAAGCTATTTCTGCTCCAGGGATCCAGTAACAGATGATAAACCTAAAGGGGAGCAGAATAGATCTGCCCCAAATATGCCTCATTGGCATACTGATTATTTGAATTAAAGTTACTTGAGAAACAGCCGGTACAAGAAGGACACTCTGACCCTCTTTGGTTCCCCCCAAAGCAGGAAACAGATCTCCCATGTGAAAGATACCCTCCCTGTATCAGGAGCGTAGAAGGCATTCTTACCACCGGAATAAGAAATTTAGGGCCGAGAAAACGATATAAACAAGTCTTGTTACTTCTTCACCAATTTAGTGAAGCGCAACCCCCTTTGTCTTGTCAATTTTTCACAAATTGATTGTTCTCCCGTCTAAAAGGTATGAAAGCTGCCTGCTTTGTTCACTTCTATGAGCCTCATGTCTTTAAGGGGCTCCCATACATAAATAATTAAATTTGGGGGTTTTATCCGGTAAATCTGTCTTACGCCAGTTTAATTATTAGATCAGCCAAAGGGCCTAGAAGGAAATAAATTGTCCACACCTATAAAGCTAAAGAAAACCAAAAATAACTGAATAAGAATAGAAATAAACATTACCAGGCCTACACCTACAGCCTCTTTTTATTAAGTCAGAGCAAGCCACCCTACAGACCTTGGGCTGCCACATAAAACTGTCCGGGTATTGCCTAGGAAAACTGGTTTGGGAGTACGCATCTCCCTTGAAAAACACGTTCAGTTTGAAAGGCGTTCTCGTTTTATGAATGAATGCCACAGTCAGAGCTCGTTGGCTGCATCTTTGGCACGTGCAACTCTGTAAATTGATTAGTACTTTTAGACAAACAACTTTCCCAGACAAGGAAAATATTGGCAAAAATGGCAAAGTCTCCTAGGGAGAGCGATCACAGAGTAGTGCCAGGCAACCCACTGGCTAAGTGGTCCTGTTAAGACCGAGTTCCACAGAATTCAGCAGTCGTCCTTGATAATTAATGAATAAGAGTTCTACAGAAAAGGCTTATAGAAAAACCAAACCGCTTTCAAAATATCTTGCCACAAGTCCACAGAAAATAGCCCGGTTCTTTTTTGATTCATTTAATCTGGACCATATAAAAATTTTAACTACTCAGAGATTGGCCAATAACAAACATACATGAATTCAAATTGGTTGTTAAAGAAACGCTTGCAAGGCCCTGGAGATCAGGATGACTGAGTAGTAATCATTTATTAGGAACCAAAAATGATTTGGATACTAAGAACCAACTTTACAGAAAAGCAGATTAGCCCACATGTTAGAATGGTCACGGGGAACTTTAAATCCAGCTCCTACCAATCACAAACAAAGGCAAGTGATTGAACTCAGGACACAAGGAAAACACAAACTTCTCCAGGGGAAATTATTTACCCGCCTTTGGTTAGCATAAAACCTTTGAGTAGTACCTTTGAGTACACGGCTAATCAGGTACTTGGGAATGAATCTTGTGGATCATTATATCCAATGTGCTACTTCTTGTTGTTCTGTCTCATAGAATACTCATAAACAGTAGTGGGTTGATCTGCACACAATGCTTTCAAAAGTTGTGAGTAACAATAAAAATGTACTACAGCATTAAGTATAAAGATGGCCAATATGCCTCTGGGGAAATATGTGGATTTTTTTTCTAAAGCCCACGTATTTAATGGTTTTGCAGGTGATGCCACTCATGAATAAACAAGAAGAAAAATGGTGAAAGCTTAAAAGTATCCTGTTGAGCTGGTTTCAGCTGACTCCTGCTTTTAGGGGTGAAACATTCCTTTTTGGTTAATAAAGTACAGTTTAAGTCTTAGGATATGGCTCAATGACAAAGGACAAGCTGAATTTAAGCAACATAAACAACAGATAGGCCACAGTCCCATGGAAACTGTTAAAGATAGCAGAGGATTCAGTTGCCCTAACTTAATAATATTTACTTACTCTTGTGAAGGCCAAAGCAAGGTGCTATAATTGGTGCTGAGAATTCATCTGCTCTGTTTATATTTCCTGTTAACTTTTAGGTTCATTATGAAGTATTTAAGAAAAAATTCCATTGGAAGCATAAAAAATAGGTACTGAATACATTTAAAGTGTTGTCACAAAAAGAAATATATACAGATTTTGCTAAATTCTATAGAAACAGGGAGATTTGCAAGTCTTACTCCCTTTTTAGGGGTGGGAACTGATTTAAGGCAGTATGTCTAAAATAATCAACTATCATGTTTTATTGCTTAAAAATGTAGCACAAAGAATTAAGTAACTTTACACCTGGTATCCTCAAAGGACAATGTCAAATAAGAAGTTCTTCCTCTTAACTTATCAAATCAGTAGATGTTCCTAATGGCTATAAACTGCCATGGTTTTCTTCCTTTGAATTGGGGATGGGGTTTCTTTATTTCTACTAAGATCCAGTGAATCAGAGAAAAAAAAAAAACACCCTGAAAATCACACATAAAACGTACTTAGTTTAGTTTAATTTTCAGAACTAAATAAATGTGCCATATATGTAAAGTAAGTATTTCAACTTAAGAAAGGGCAAACGAAGCCATCCTCAATTTCTTTCTTTTTTTTGCCCTATAGTATGAGCAGTTAAAGAGGAGAAAGAAAGGGTAGAGAGACTATAGAGACAGACAGGGGCATTAGAGGTAAAGAGAGATGTCATCAGGAAAGGCCAAAATCAGAAAGAAGACAAGGAGGTAGACATGAAAGCCAGAGAAGCAGACAAAATGTGTGCTGCAAGGTGTGGGGCTAAACAGGGACATACATATAGGACCCACCACAGAAAAGAAACAAAACACTTGGTGCAGAATGACAGAGTGTCATAAAAATAAGAGTCTTTCATAGACTATAAGTAACCTTTTACAGTTTTATTGTTAATTATTGGCTTTTTAGCCAATACTTAGATTGAAGTGGAGATATTACTATCAGCTAAAGAATATAAGCCCTGGCTGGTGGGGCTCAGTAGGTTGGAGCATTGTCCCTTACACCTCAAGGTTGCGGGTTCAATCCCTGGTTGGGGTGCGTGCAAGAGACAACAGAACAATGTTTCTCTCTCACATTGATGTTTCTCTCCCTCCCTCTTTCTAAAATCAATAATAATAATAATAATAATAATAATAAATATAAAAACCAAGCACAGCAAAGATCCTTACCAT